GTGTGTGTGTGTGTGTGTATGTATATATGCAAGCTATTATTATTGTATTTATAAAATGGGATAATAATTAAGTTTTACGTAGATAACAAAAATACCTTCAAAATTTCTTTTTTTGGGGGGTTGACCTTTTAAAATTTAAATTTCTTTATCTGATAAGGCATTTTTATAGCATTTAGCTTAGAACCATATTTTGAAAAATACCAGTGAATTATTTATTCCCTCATTCAATATTTACTGAGTATTTACCAGGCATGGGCTAAATTCAAGGAAGACAGAGAATGTACATACCAGTGAAGGCAGCAGTAACTGAATGAACAAATAAATGCCCAAGGTAATAACCAATGTGCTAAGAGTTGTGGAGGAATCAGCAGAAAGGCCTGGAAGTAGGGAAGGGGTTGGGGTGTTGGTAGAGCAGATGAGAGACCTGGACTGGACTGTGGTCAGCTGGGGAGAGGCAACACAGGAGGTGGGAGGATGTGTTGGAGCTACATTGTTCAGGGCCTTGGAGACGCTGGTAAGGAGCTAGGATCTTTTCTGCAGCGGGCTGGGATTTCTTTCCAAGGAAGGTATTGACACGGGGTTTTAAGCAGGAGTGTACTGGGTCTGATTCGCATTTGGGAAAGTTGTTTTTGTCAACAGTACAGAGGATTAATTGGAGAGGAACAGGTGGGACCAGAGGGAAGACTCTAGGGAAGAAATGGACAGGAATGGGATGGGAGAGCAGCAGTGGAAATGGAAAGAAATGGGTGAAGTCAAATGAAATCACATATATTTATTTTAGAGGTAGAGTTGACACATGTTGGGGCTTGGATGAGAGACCGTGAGAGAAAGGGAGGAATCAGAGACAACGTCTGATTTGGGGCTGTTAGGTGCCATTTGACAGTTGCATATATACTCCCTTTATTATTAAACTTAAAAAATATATAGTACTTTTCAAGACTAAAATTTTAGTACCATTTAAAAACTTACATCTTCCTGGTCTAGAATTTTTTGTACAACGTTCCTAATTGTTTTTCTTATTTTCCTATTTAGTAATGAAAACCTCCTTTGTTGATGTTTTTGTCATTTAATTGGGAGCATTTTATCTGTCTCTTATTGCTTATTTACCACTTGCAGAGTAATCTTTTGAAATTAGATAGCTGAGTGTCATCCCTGCCCCAGGAAAGTCTGAGTCTGTAAAAGCCTGCGCCTGCTGAGAAGCAGCTTTCCTTCTCTGCCCAGGAGCGAGGATAGCGCTGAGGTGTATCTACCTAGCCCTGCCTGGGGCACACGCTGGCTGTCTGTAACCCCACTATTCTTGTTAACGTGCACTTTAGATGTGGCAAATCAAGTCTATGAGTTTTTATTTTCTGTCACTGAGGACTAGTTATACCTTCTCAATAATTGGAGTTTATCACATTTTTACTAAAATACGATTTCTTCTTGTGAATGGAGTTCAAGTGTATACACTAGTCTTAAATTAAGCAGATTGTTCAAATCAGTGCATATGGAATGGGTTATTTTATTTTTTTCTAAAAAGAGGAACTGGGAAGAAAATTCTTTAGACAGTATTGCATAAAGTTTTTTTTTTTACACCTAAATGAGAAGCCAGAAATGCATATAAAACATAAGAACTTCAAAAACACTTCTTAGACGCAGACTGTTGTTAAATGCCCATGGATTTTTTGATTTCCCATTACATTAAAATACTCAAATGAACTTCATATTCAGAATATTTAAAAATAGCTCAGTCGTAAAAAGAAGGTGTAAAGTATTATCAGCTGTGCTTTTTGTACATAATTAGCATATGCCTGTAGAGGTATAATGACTTTTGGTGTAATATTACTCACGATAAAAAGTTCCAATGGTAAAAATCAGGGACACAGATGGGTGACACATTTTAAAAGATTTAAGAGATGACGTCACAGAAGGCATGCTGTTTTGGTCCCTTGTAATCTTCCTTTCATTCATCAGTGGTTGTAAAGGCACTGGTAAAGGATCCTTTTTTAAATGTTTCATTTTTCCTTCTTTCTTACAGATTTGATGTGTATTCACTGTTCCTGCAGTGCTTGGCAGATCACTGTGAAAGGTACATCACCTTTTCCTGTTTTCTGAGATGGCCCAAGATTCAGTAGGCCTTTCTTCTGATTATCAGTTTTGGATGCAGAAGCTTTCTGTATGGAAACAGGCCTCCACTTTGGAAACCCAGCAAGACATCTGCCTTTACCTGCCTCAGTTCCAGGAGTTCCTGAGGCAGATGTATGAAGCCTTGAAAGAGATGGTATGTAGTGGACCAAAATAATGAGTTATTCTGTGACATCAGGAACTCTGCACCAGATTTTATCCAGTCTGAATGCAGTCAGAGACTTGTGGTATTGCCCTAACATATTGAAGGATTAGACAGAAAAATAACCTGTAAATAATGGAGAAAAGATGTGGTTTCCTACTTTCTGATTTACTATGACTTCAGTCTTTCCTTTCTTGACTAGTTATATTGTCACATGAGACTTCCTGACCAATGAGGTGGTTTTTAAATAAACAAGACTTTGACACTTGTCAGGTAATAATTGGGATTCTTTTAAAGGCCTTTGCATCTCTTAACTGTTGAAGAGTTTGCTGAAATGCTTACCTTTTTTTCAACCCTGTTCTAAAGTGAGCTCTACTAAGAGATGATAAATACTAAGATTCTTCTTACGTATATTTTAAGTGGACTTTTCTTGCGCATATTAAGATTTTGAGTGTCTTCACTATTGTTATATGTTATTGTGTTCAAAATTGGATATTGCGCATATTAAGATTTTGAGTGTCTTCACTATTGTTATATGTTATTGTGTTCAAAATTGGATATATTTTCATTTTGACGTAAGATTTCTTATTTTTACTGCAGCAGATATTTTTATGAAATAACACTGTTTCATATTATGAAAATATTATTTGTTTATGCTTATTTTCTAATTTCAAAATGAAAAGCAAAATTGTCACTTAGTGGAGGCATTCTTGTGTTATATTTTTCTTTCCTTAATCAACGGAGCAGGTAGGAAATTTGAAGAATAATTCATGATGATGATAAGGAGTTCACTTGTCTTTAGAAACTAGAAAGAAAGATACAGTCTGAATGAACAACCAGCGCTAAGTTAAAATTCTTTTTTTGTAACTTAACCTTAAAGTGACTCCAGAGAGTCCGGGACTGGCCTTGATGTTGAAACAACTATGAGGAATTTATTGCTTGAGCGGTAGGAAGTGCTTATCATTTCAGTTTATATGCGCATTATCTCAGGTCTTACTTGCAACTTTCTTGAAAGGTTAAAGAAGTGGGGAAAGGGCCGGTCGTACAGCAGCACGTGCACTGTTAATTTTAAGCTGTTTTCTGTTTGGTTCATCTTTTTTTGGTCTTCGGTTTAGGTTATTACAGACTGAGTATGATGTCATTTAGCATATAGTAATCAGAATAGTAATAAACAGATTGCTATCTGTGAGCTTTGGCTGCTTTTATTTCTTTTTACAAGTTCCAGAGTTCTTGCCTTCTAAACCTACTTTGAGATAGCTGCACTGGAGCTGACCTAGGAACCTCTCTTATTATGTTAGATTAAAAAAACCAGGATGCAGATATGGAGTTATATAGATATTAATCACCCATAATGTTTTTTTCACTATTAGGCAGTCTTTGTTATTTTTAAATAAAGTGGCCTTTCTTGATTGTTAAGTATCAGTAAAATAAAATTAATTTTGCAGCAAAATTGATTTTACTGGAACTTGATGACCTGGTTTAAGGATGAAATAAGGTGATTGCTTATTCAACTTTATTAGAATTACTTACCTGAAGATCTTCTCTGATCTTTTTCTCCCCTACTTTTCTAAAATACATACTAAACAAGAAGCATTTGAGCACCCTCAGTCTGTAGTGTCAGTTCAGTCTTGCTGAGTTGCATAGTGTCCTTTTACTGACCGAAATGTAATTTTCTTTTACAGGATTCAAATACAGTCATTGAAAGATTCCCCACAATTGGGCAACTGTTGGCAAAAACTTGTCGGAATCCTTTTGTCTTGGCATATGGTAAGAATCCAAAGCACGGCCTCTTGGAACACAAATTTCTAATGATAATGTTCATCTTTGCATTGTTTAACAAAATACAGAGCTTTGGATTATAAACCTTTCTCTTATTTTTCATGAAACAAGTTATATCAAATGTATTCTCTGTTCCATTACAAAGATGACACCTTTTATTGTTGTCCATATGTTTGTGTATGTGTGTATAGATACACAAATATACACACACAAACACACACACACCCAGCTATATAGGAGAATAGAACTCCTTGAATTAGAGGGTAAAAATTCCCAGATGATGGTTGCAACCTTGTTTTTAATTCAGTGTAAAGTGGTTATAATAAGTAATTTCATTGTTTTATAATTTCATATTAACTCACATAGTATTTTTTGTGTGTAAAATTCTTCATTGTCTGAATCCTGCTATGGCTCTGTGAGTCTTTAGGGGTGACATTTTGGTTTTACCCAAGGTTAAGCAAAATCTGGGGACACTTTGAGGGAGGTGTCCCTTCGCTGACCTCCTGTTTACCTGTCTAGCCTCGTTTCCTGTTTAATCTTCCACAACTAACCCACGTGCATTATAGTCAGGTTAAATTACCAGCAGTGCCTAAGGGCACATGATGTCTGGGCCTGTGATGTGTGATTCCTTTTGCCTGGAACTGTGTTCCTGTCTCCTGTCCTCAAACCTTGCTAGGGCTAAGTTATGCCAGCATCTCTCTTGATTATAACCCTTACTACACTGGTTTGTAATTGTTAGTTTGCCTGTGTGGTGCCTTGGAAGGCTCAGTGTCTCTCAAGAGCAGTAATTGAGATTGTAGTTCTGTTTGTTGTCCTAGGATGGAGCAGGCATATCTGAAGGTGCATGGTCGAGTTTTATTGCCTTGATTTGACTATATTGTTAACTAATGAAATATTTACTTTTCATACTTTTTAAAGTCAAAGATTAATGATGGTAGAGTCAAAAATG